GCGAATAAGAAGACGAGCTGTACCAGGCTAAGGTAGCGCATAGTGCTTGCGAAGCCGTGCCGCAAGCAACGCGCGCTATCCGAGATAACACTCTTGCAACTTTTAGTATATTAAGCTTGTAAATAAACGAATATAAAAAAAAACCCCCACACACACATACATACATACACACATAAAAACAGAGTCTTAATGTTTTTTTTTTTTATTTTAACAGATTAATAACCCTGTAGAGACCCCTTTGGCTAATCAATACCTTTGATAATAGGAACGACCACAACAAAGCCGAAACGCACAACACGTTCATAGTCAGAAGAAGAAATCCAGAATCAAGAACTCAGCGCCCAGTGCCCAAACCTCAGTCCGACTTAGTCGCCATCTCCAACTCCAACGCGAACTCTGTCTGATGTGGATTGGTGTTGCTGTTGGAGTCGAAGTAAGTCTCAGCTGCGTACAGTTAATTGCAAGCAAGGGTGTAGTTGTTGTGATACGGACCAAATGCGAATATATTTCAAATTCCATTACCAATTTCAAAGCAATTTCCATACAGCTTGATTGCATCGAATTAAAAAGCCGACAGCATGAAAGTCCCACATACCGAGAACTTTTTGTAGTCGATAGCATCTGACTACACAATACTCGCTCACAGATTTTGATTTATCTTCATATCTATGTAGAGTATTAAATTCTTGAAAAAATAAATTAACTTGGCCCAAATAGAGACGATCATTGCGAGGGAGAAACAGGAAGAGAGTGATAAAGAACTCTCTAATGTTTTGTCTGCTAATAAGCTAACTAATCGATAATAATAAAAATTGAATACTACTACTATTCAAGATGAAACAATTAAAATTTGTTTTATTGATGCTCCTATTTCGTTTGTTAAATCTGAGTGTTATTATTATTATTAATTTTCCTTCCCACATGTCTGCGATACAATAAAGATACTACTACAGTCGCACTCATTCAAGCGCAAACTCACACGCATTGAGAAACTTAAGTATTGTATAATATACGATACGTTCGTAACTCATCATTAAGAACTGAGATTCCAGTTCGATTTTGGTCACCGATTTTTCGATTATTATCGTTCTTGTGGCGAAACTCGCCAGTTCTCTTCTCTCTGTCTTATTCCATCTGTCTATATCTCGCTCACTCTCTTTATATATATATATATATACATATGTACATATATCAGTTTCTGTCTGTGCGCGCGTGTGTGTGTGTTACTCTTCTGCCGATTTATATGCGCTTTGAGATTTATACGCTGACGCTGACCCTTGAGGAAATTATTACAAATTACTTAAGAATGCAAAAACGATTATATGTATCCATCGAATTTGCAATTAGTGACGTGCACAGCACACACTTTGCTCCACGTCCAGGCCCGACCTGAGTCTGCTGCTTGCAGTTTGCAGTTCTCAGTTTTCAGTTGGCCGTTGGCCCAAGCGCAGGTAAACACAGTGTGATATTCCCATATCTCAGCTGTGGCATCGTGCGGGGCCCCGTACCGCAGGCTTAGCACCTAAGCTACATAGCAACAGCAGACGCTGCAGCGCATAGTGGCCCTAACCAAAGAGAAGCAGAGAGACAGAGACAGAGAAAGACAAGAGAGAGAAGGAGAGAGAGAGAGAGAGAGAGAGAGAGCGAGAGAGCGAAAGCGAGAAGGAGAAGGATAGAGAGGCAGATCCCAGCTGGCAAAAAGCTGGAATCTGGATTTTGTGCTGAGCACTCACACTCCCACTAGCGAAACATACACAGCTACATGGTATCTAGGCTCTTTCCAATAATGGATAATAGCAGTCTGTCCTGCTCCTTCTGGTCTCTCTCTTTCCACCTCTCTGTCTCCCTGGCAATTGGTTTGTAATTGTTATGCTCTTCGGATCTGTGAATCCAATTTTAAAAAAAAATCTTTTCTTGAGCCGCTACCGTCGTCGGCCGATCATTACCATTCCTCTTATTTCACAAAATGTATTTGGCTAACTTCTATCATTTTTGTTAAGCGTAATTGTATCTTAATTTTGAGGGCTGTGCGGAACAACATATAGCTAGGCGTTAGATCTTGAAATGCATTGGATAAGCTTCTGCTGCATTTAACATGGTCTAGTGGTTTCTAAGGGATTTGCTGACACCTACCTTCAGTGGAAGCCAGCGGCAGTTGTTCGGTGACCTTAAACACCTCGTTGAGTCCGAGCATCTCCATATTTTCGCTACGGCGCTGGAGGCAAATAAATTGCTCAACCTGCATGTGCCGCAAGCTCTTCACGTGTTGTACCATGTCATGCAGATTTTTGGCAACAAAATTACATAGTTGACAACAAAGGGATTTCTTCGGGGTCGATGATGATGCTGATGGCGATGTCTGTTGTTGTTGCTGTTGCTGTTGCTGCTCCTGCTGATCGTCATTATGCAATTGCATCGGCATCGATAGCGACATTGACATTGGCATCGACATCGACATCGGCATAGGCATCGGCGACTCCCTGTAATTACGATGCATGCGACTCTTCTGTATGATGTGCAGCAAGTGCTGAAAGATCATGCGCATTGTATCATGCCGCATCTGCTGCGTGTGCAGCGAGAGCTTCTGAATGGAGTTCGTGTGGAAGTCGCAGCAGTTGCACTTCACCTGCACCACATTCGCCGCCAGTTGGACTTGGTATTGCAGCTTGTACTCGTTGCGCGGCCCACCCTCGCGAATGTGATTGATAAAGTTGAGCTTTTGCAAGTGCTTGTCCGTCTTGCTGTGCAGTTGGAAGTTGGCCTTCAGATTGGTCTTATAGTTGCATAAGCGGCAAATGTAGCTGTTGTTGTGGATGACCATGATGTCCGTGGAAGAGCTTGACAGCTGCCGCGATCGGTCCAGCAGCAGGTGCTGATTCAGCTCCTCCATATCGTTGGTGCTATAGCAATCGCATATCAAGCAGCTATATAGGGCCGTGGGCCACAGCTCTGGCTGGCTCTCCGAGTACGCATCGAGCACCTCTGGCTCAGCACTCGTTGCAGTCGCCAGATTCCCGATCCCCGTTGGAATCTTCTTGGACTTTGGCGAGTAGGCGGCGAACGTGGTGTGCAGCTGCTCGGGCGTGCTAGCCGGCGAGCCCGTGCTTGTTGGCGACATTTTGCTGGCAGTGGAGGGCAGCAACTGCTGCTGCTGTGCTTGGGCATTCTGTTGCAACAGCTGTATCATCAGCGCTTGATTATAAGCCAAGTCAGCTAAGGCTACCTCCGGCCCAGCTGTCATAAAGGTATTCGAATTGCCTGTTGCTGCTGGTTGCTGTTGCTGCTGCTGCTGCTGCTGCTGCTGCTGCTGAAGATAATTTAATGCCTGGATGTGCTTAATGTTATTCTGCAGCACTGCCATGTTATGCGTGTGTTTCTCACTGGTCATGTGGATGCGCAGATTTCGCGCCACCGATGTTTCGTAGCTGCAGATGTCGCAGCGAAACGTCGGTTTCGGTTTGCTCGATGACAATGTTGCTGCCGTCGTTGTTATCTCTTTCACAGTTATTGCTACATTGCCTGCAGCACTATTGGCATTAACTGAAGCGCCAACATTTGCTGCCGCTGATGCTGTTTGAGACGGTGCTGCTTGAGTCGGTGTTGGACTGGGAAGCATTAGCTTGGCGCTAGCTGCTGCTGCTGCTGCTGCTACCGCAACCATGTTCTGCGAACTGTTTAGCTCCTGCATATTGTTCAAGTGCTTGTCCGACTGCATGTGTATCGATAGGTTGCCCTTCGTTGTCGTCGAATAGTTGCAAATTTCGCAGCGATATGGCTTGTAGCCGCATGAGTACGATTCGCCGCGAGCCAGCCGTGGATGCTGTTGACCTGAAACGATTTAATTTGATGTGAATACTTTTATGATTGGAGTCCTGCAACATTTGCGCCCGCCGACAACTAAAAGCGCTCGACTGTAAAATACTCTAACTCTGGCGCTTGACTGCGCGGTGGCTCCGATCCATATGATCTACTCCAAGCGGAAACTGCGTTTCTTAGCCTAAATATACCTCGCAGCCTCGATTGTAAGGCTGGCCGACCATCTGGACTTGCAGATGCTGAAACCTAGACCGAAAGATAGCTCGCAGCCTGGCACTCCATCTGAAATTGAGCGATAACAGAGCTCAGCTGTACTGGAACCTTTATCCCTTTGAGTATAGCTCAGATCTTTCTCTCTTTCCCTCTCACATTCACAACATCTCTATATTTCACTCTCTCGTGTTCACTATATTTTGTTCTCTCGCTCCCCTTTGACTCACTCTCTCTTTCCCACTCTCTCTCTTGCTCTTTTCTTTCGAGACCTACCTGCTAAACAGTATCCACAGGCACTTTCTCCATCTGGATGCTTCTCCCGCATATGGATTTCCAAGGTTTCCTGGTATTTGTAGTGCCAATTGCATTGCGGACACTTTAGAGTTTTGCAGGAGTTACGCGTGGACATCTGAACGCCGCTGCTGAGGCGAGCCGAATTCAATAACATCTCGCAGCTGCAACAATAAACAGTAAAATATATCCAATTGTAGCATATATAAATTCCAATTCGTTAGATGTTCAACATATTTTCTGGAGTGATCTCGCGTTTTCTCTTTTCTCGATATCTAAACAGAAAGAGAGTCCGATTCTCTTTCACGAACTGACAACAATAGCAAGAATCGGGTTCAATCCCCGGTAAAGGTAAATCGTTTAACAAAATAGAAATGCGACCTGTGCATACTTGCATACGGATAAGCTATATACACTACCGACTTGAGCCTTTTTACTTGGTCCATTATATTTAGTCAACCAGGACAAAGAGAAATACTCAGAGCCATAAATGGGAGATACATATATGGGAGATTGAGAGGACCAAAAATATCGATGCTTTGCGAGAGGGCTGAGATGAATGATACGCAGGTAATTGAAATAATTACAAATAATTTATATTTATACGGGCTTCAATCTCAGCTGGGAGAATGAATGTTCTATGCCCTGTGCTATGTGCGCTTGTATCACGACTACTTAATTTGAATTCTAGTCGCATAACTTTATTGTAACTGAGTGGCACATTCAATTAGCAAGTATTTCACAATGGACGGGACTGCCAAACAACACCCCACAAAGTGTTGATGGAATTTTATGATCGCAGGGAATTGCGGCAATTTGAATTGAAGCCGACAGATATATATATATATATAATTTATAAGTGAAATCCGCGCAATTGGTTTAATTTATTTTTGTTGCGCTGCCTCCGACCGACCATTTCCTCATATTCATCTCTGGCTCAAAGACTCCCAAGAGAGATTGTCGACAATGCGTTCGTTTAAATAAGCCCGTACAATTATTTAAATAGCATTGTTTGTGATTTGAGTTGGGACCACGGAGACGTAATATCCCCTTATGTGCATCCCGTATTTGTGTATACTGCAATTCATACGACCAAATGCTGAGCTTGTCTTGGGCTTGCCACGATCACCCACAATCTATAATCTTGGAACTTTATTGATAGAAAACTCTATATTTACTTCGCATATACCTCAGTGTATGGTTCTCTGCTGTGCTGTGTTAGATTGAAGAAAGGATTTCATTCAGATGTCATGCAATCAACGTGAATACACAAATTGGAGCGAACATGTCCCAAGGCTCATTTGCGTTTAAATGAACAGCCGGAATAGAGCCCGAGGTAGCTCGGAAGTCGGGGGCTGGGACCAATCAACAAAGCCTGGCCAGCCAAGACCGAGTTCTTGACCCCCACCATGTCGGAAATTACTACTAATGAGTTATTCCATAGGCTGATGATGGCGATGAATCCCTTTTTGCACACTGCCAAAGTTCAAACAGCAACAGTAATTACGCTTATTATGTGCTGCTCGACCCCTTTTCACATTGCATTGCATTGTCAGCAGTGACGTGAGTTGCGCGCCGGAGAGTTGCCCATATCGAGAAATACCTCGATAGCCGAGACCATAACCCAATCAACCCTTTTCACAAGCCTCCCATAATATATGTGTATGTGTATATGGGTATGTGTATATGGAGAAATATTTTGGCGGGGTAGCAAACACCGGCCTAAACCCAAATTGGTAATGTTACGCTTCAATGATCGATTATAGACCTCGATTCCTTCTCCTCAAACAAATGGACATATACATATAAAAGGAAGATACAGTTTTATGCATTTTCAGAGTATAGCCCAAGAAGTTCACAATCCGAGCACTTAGTTGGGTAACTGAATACAGTCGTGTTTGGCTATTCGGCCGTCTGTCTGTCCACATAAACCCTCCGAAATAAGCCAAGGACTTATAATTTTGTATATTTATATACATATGCATATGTATGTATGTGGCGGAAATGATAGTATTATTCGAATATAACATCTTTTCGATATATCGGCTCATGCCTAATATTGGGTGGTATTAATTGAGTATGAGATTGGCTAACACTAAACTTCCTGACAAAGTTGCCAGTGAGTTTCGATTGATATAATCGAACGTGCTAGTGAAAAAGCAAGCAGTTGATAAGCAATAAGAAGAAGGGCGACAGTGCAGGGATACGCTGCAGTCCTCAAAATTATCTTTTAGAAAAAAGCGACATGTATATATCCGGGGAAATATTCCTGTTAGGAATACAGAGTTGCCTACGGAAGAAAAATGTGGATACTCACCGACCACAATCCACGCCTTGGGGTCGCCCATTAATGTGATCGGAACAGGCGCCAATCGTGAAGCTTGAGGCTGTCGTATTGCCAACAGACGCGGCGGTGGGCGAGATGGGCATAGATGCGGAAATGCTGCCGTTGGGCGAGCGCAGAGGCTGTGGCAGTGACTGAGATTGGGATTGGGATTGAGATTGAGGAGTAGCCGGCGACTTGGTTCGGTGTTGAATATCAATCAATTCACAAGTTTTGCAGTCGACACCCTTAAAATCGGGATGCTCCAAGCAGTGTGTGGGGAACAAAAGGTGTTTCTGTTGCTGTTGCTGATGCTGTTGTTGTTGCTGTAGCTGCTGCTGCAGAAATTCTGTGAGTAGCTTAACACCTCGTGCATTCTGCTCATTAGCCAAAGCATTGAGAGACGCATGAAAGGAACTTAGTTGCACCTGAGCTTGGGTCTGTATTGTGGGTGGATAAACGCCGGCCGCATGTTGTTGCTGCTGCAAGGAGAGCAGATGTTGCTGCAACATTTCGGCCGCTGTTAGAGTTGCAGTATCTACATCCATAGGCTGCTGCTGTTGTGGAGCTGTGGGTGAATTAGTGCCACATCCGGACCTTTGGCTACGCTTGTTTGACTTATCGCTATCTATATTATCAGTACTGGACTTTACATCTGAAGAAGGTGGACTGGGTGGAGCTGGAGGTGCAGCTGAACGTAATGGTGGAGGAGGGGGAGGAGGAGGTGGAGGTTGGGACGGAGGTGTAGGCGTACGGGTTGAGCCCTCACTAGCCACCCGCAAAGGCTCGACTGCATTTGTCGGCGATGCAGATGATCCTCTTGCTGTTGGAAGCGAGCAAGCTGTCAATTCCGTGCCGTCTGCCTTTGCGCCTAAATTATCATTAGTCTTAATTGTTGCTAAGTTTAAGGAACCAAATTTCACAGTTGTTGCTATATTATGCAGCTCCTCTGTCATGTCAACATCAGCCACGGTATCCTCGGCACTCGAGCTTTCCCCTTGACCCGTACCAGGGCCCGATCCTGAAAATTGATCCTGAATACGTTTTGTTTCGCTGGCATCAATGTTGAGAGCATCCTTAACATCCAATGGCTGTAGAAATGAGATCTGCGGCTTCTCATCCATATTCCGCTGAATGATCGCACTCGAAAATTCACGATTCAGTAGCTGTTGCTCCAACTCCACCAGATTCAATTGGTGTTCACTATTCGCATGCAAGCTGAACGAGTTGACAGTGCCGAACGACAATTTGCATATGAAGCACATCAATATTGGCTTATGATTTTGTGTCTGGAATGCATCTACCGCATCCAGGCAATGGCTGCTGGCATCTTGGGCGGATACCACGCGAAACGAATGGATTCTTGGACTCAAGTGACTCGGCAACCTGCAAGTATCATCCACTCCCAAATCTTCACCCTCAGCTCCACCGTCAGCCTCAGACTCAACGTCAACTTGTCCCCTACTCCGATTCTCTACATGTACATGTGAGGGCGCTCTTGCTGTAGATGATACTGTTACTGTTGCTGCTGCTGCTGCTGTAGCTACTGCTGTAGCTGCTGCTGTTGCTGTTGCTGCTGCTATTGGTGTCCTTGTGGCACAGCTTGATCTTAAATGATTAGTGGACGAAACAGTCGCATTGCCTGCATCGATTATTAAGGCGCTGCCGTCAAGATTGTAAACTATTTTGCCATTAAAAGTTTCAACATCAGAGCTGGACATTGGAGAGCCGTCGTTAGCATTATTGGAGTCCTACGAACAAATAGCGAAATCAAGCAAAAATATCATTAGTAATCAATGCATCATTCAGTCAAGAGCTTCTTACGACTAGGACAAAGGAGAACATTTTTATAGAATATGTTAAATATAAATGAAACAAGTAGAAGTGCTCTGCGCTGTAAGCTGCGACTTCGCTTGGGCTGCACTGAAATGTGGGCAATAGTATGATCTGTCAGTTCCAACAATTAAGTTCTCATCAAATGTATAAACATAATAAATTAGAAGTCTCTAGGTCTATGCTTAAGAAACGAAATAAATTGATCTATTATTCTTGATCAAATAAAAACAAGTAAGAAGGCTCTAGTCGAGACTGCTCGACTAGGAGATACCCTGAACCCTCCAAGCTGATATTTTAATCATTCTATACTTAATTTATGCACATATACATGTGTACATACACATGCATCCGCACGCTCATATAAAAACACGCTCTGCTAACTGCGCAGTAAGCAGCGACTTAGTGAAATCTTAATGAAACTTTCAGAACGTAAGCATAATGTTCAAATGGATGTACATTTCAAAGCACAGTCTCTAGTATTTGAAATGCGTTTTTTACAAATTGGGGACGAATGGGCGTGGTATCCAAAATCTGTTTACAAAATGTGTGTATTCATCATATGTATATACACAGTAAATCTCTAGGTTCAATGATGTTCAAATAAGGCTGAAAAACCAAATATATATTTATTATTATTATTTATTATTTATTATTTTTGGGACATCGATAGAGGAGATTACTAATAACCTAACTATCCAAATTAACTATCCCTTTGAGCGGAGATAAATCCATCATAGCTCGTTGGACTTAGGGGGTCAACCTGCGTATTGATAACAAATTTCAGGTCTGTAGCATCAATAGTGCCTAAAATATATTCGAAGAATTAATATTTCGATAATTCTTCGCATCTTTCGACTTAAACAAATACACACTCATAGGCATGTTCCCATGAAGTGTGGGCTTAATTGCTTAATAACTTTTCTTGGTGATGGACAATCTTCATAGAACTTTCAGTTCGTAAATATAACATTTGCCAAAGCACAAGTCTCTAGTATTTTAAATACGCCTATTACACATTTAGGGGTGAGGGGATGGATATTTGCGTGAGGAGTAAACTACAACAAAAATATAAATTCTATAAAACACATATAAGTCTGCATTTAAAATATGGATACTGTAGCTTCAAAGGTGTAGGAGATATAATTAGGAAGGCTCAGGGCATCTCGTTGTCGAGCAGTCTCGACTAGAGCTTCCTTACTTGATTTTAGCTATTTTTTGAGAAAAACTTGATATGTGCCTGATATATACGAATCTAAGAAAAAAATTTAAGTCTTTGGCTTTTATATTTACGGACGGATATGCCAGAAATCATATTAGTTGGTAGCTATAAAGCTAAAATTTGGAATGTGGATCCGCGTCGACCACCCAAGATCATGAGCTTCATTGAGCCAATCTCTTGGCTGCAGTTGACTTTTCTGGAGAAATGTCCATATGTATATATGTATGTACATAGGTGAAATAAATATCTTTACATTAATGTTAACGTTATTAACAAGAAGAAAAATGGGAGCAGGAAGAAGAAGAAGAAACAATGACACTAATAATGTAAAATGGGTAATTACTTGACAATTATCTGCAATGCGTTTTCAGAATGCCTTATAGCTATTTAATGACAACGGGGTTATGATGACAACTTAAATATACGTTGTGCGTGTGTGTATGTTTGTGTGTGTGTGTGTGAGCACCTCTGCCCAACTGACTGTATCTCTGTTTTTCTGTCTCTCTTTCTCTCCCAATCTCAGTGCTTTGTGATTGTATTGTTACCTCTGTATTACAGGGTGTGTGTGTGTGTGGGCGCACACTCAATGTAACTGCAATTTGCATCTGAACAATTGTTGACAATTATTTGATGTACATATATACAAAGTCTGTGAGTGTGGTATGGAGGAAGGGTGGTATTAAAATGCAAATACATACATAAGTGCATAGCGAGAAATTCTGTGTCGTATGTGCACGTGTGTGTGTATCAATTCGTCTGCTCTGACTCTGCTAGAGATGTGCGCGTGCACGATATGCAACAGACAGAAGTTGGCGACTTGGTCAGTCCATAGACTTAAATAGAATTAACTGATATCATGATAAGGGCGATTTGTAGCGATTAGATTTGTGTATTATTAGAACTAAATTAAACCCTTCAGCCATATATGTATGATATGAACTTTACTACAGTGGCAGTTATCGTATAATTCGAGTTGAAATCGAGATCACGACACGACCTCATCTCCATTTCAAAACTAAGTGAAATGATTCAATGAAAAAGTTTAATAATGCAGGGACATTAACATACATAAATACATACATATATAATTGCTAAAAAAAACCATCTATTAGATGGTTAAACATCAAATACTTTTGCAAGCTCAGAATAAAAAAAAAAAAAACATGTAAGAGAGCTCTAGTCGAGACTGCTCGACTAGGATATACCCTGAACCCTCCAAGCAACTGATATTTCAATATTAGCTCGCACACACCCACACACACACGCACACACACTACATACACAGGCGACTGCGCTTGGGCTGCGCTGCAGGGTTGGCAATGTTATTAAAATTTATTTTGGATAAGTTGATTTCTAGACGTACAATTTTATGAAACTTTTAAAACGTAAACATAATGTATAAATGTATGTACGTTCCAAAGCACAAGTTTTTAGTATTTGAAATATACTTTTTACAAACATGAGGGTGAGGGGTCAATTTTAACAAAAACCGAAATTGTATAAAATGCATCTGAATATACAATTTTAATTTGGAGACTCTAGCCTTAAAGATGTGGGAGATTCAATTTTATAACTGATTTTCGATAAAAATATCGAAATGAGTTATAGTTTTCTAACGATAAACTCGATATGCGCGCTATATATATGGACATTTTTTAAAGAAATTGAAGTCTCTAGCTCTTAGGTCCTCTGAGATCAACGCGTTTATACATACGGACAGACGGGCGGACAGTCAGACGGACAGGGCCAACTCGACTCAACTCGTCGCCTTGATCAAGAATATTTATCCTTTGTGGGGTCTGCCACGCTTTCCTTCTGCCTGTTAAATACTTTTAACCAAACCATTATACCCTGATTTCCCATTTTCAACGGGTTCAGGGTATAATAATAATTCTAAAAAGAGCTAAAGTAAAATTGAAACCAAATTCAGTAAGTATATAATAGCTGTTATCAGAGGAGTCATTGTCCGTGAAATTAAGTCTGCATGTCGCATCCATAGAGACACATGTACAGGCAGCGTTTGTGTCATACAGTCATACAGCCGACTGACTTTTAATACGAGCATACAAGTAAATGCTCCATTCAAGAGGGCTCAGCTCGGAGTTGTTTTAGAGCTGTTCTCCCAATCATTGTACACTTCTCTAACGAACACGAGACGAACACACACACATACACAATAAGTAAGCAAGCTCTAGTCGAGACTGCTCGACTACGAAATCCGTGAACGAAGGATTCGAAGGATTCGAAGAAGGTGTAGGAGATATAATTAAAATAACTGGTATTCGATAGGGGTTTTAATCGATAACAAAACACGGTAGCCGTTATCGATTTCTTGAGAAAAACTCAATATACGCGTGATATACACGGACCGAGGAAAAAAATTTAAGTCTCTAGCTCTGAGATCTGAGATCGAAGTGTTCCAAAATACGGTCGGGCGGACAGACGGACAGGGCTAAGTCAGTTTGTCGCCCTGATCAAGATATATACATACTTTGTGGGGTCTTCCACGCCTCCTTCTGCCTGTTACATACTTTTCACAAAGCCAGTATACCCTGATTTCCCATTAAAAATAGGTTCAGGCTATAAAAACACATACACACACTCTGGAGTAGTATAATGGGAATTAATTTGACTTGAATAGCCTGACTCAGTTACACTTTCTTAATCGAGTGCTTAAGTTACCACGGCACAGGCTTACGAAGCCCAAATCATACAAAAATAGTGCTTCCCTTAGGATCCGTCGCCTTGATAGACCCAAGCGTCTGTCACTCCCTCTCCGGTCTGTTACAGGTTGTTTTACGGAAAGTAAAGATTGCTTATATTATCAGTCCACTTGCATTAGGGGAAACATTGATCGACATCGCTATAAACATTAAAAGTTGTATTTAAACGCGCTTTTAAATTTGTATAATAGTCTTAAGGTGAAATCATTGAATCTAATCAAATCTTTAAGGCATACGCTATCGAGGAGTTGCGCTAGCTTCGTCCCAAACAACCGAACGAATGACGATGGGCATGCAATGGGGACCAAAAATTGCATTGTAGATGATTCTGTGGAGTAGGGGCTAAACGGAGCAAACGTGGTAAAGATAGAGGTATTAGGGGTGATAGAGATGGTTGGGGTGGTAGAGGAGGCATATGCACAGCATTGGCGTCAAAATAATAACAAGAAAGAGAAAAATTATGACGACCGAAGATGTAATGAAGACTCGCGCATATCCACCTTTGGATTTCAAACTGCTAGGTGCGGAGGGTGTGAGGTGGGTAGCTGGACAGAGCTGAGGAATGCCATGAGTGAGCGGATTAGGGAGAGTGCCGCACAGCCAAACCAAAACTGAGTGCGATGAGCCCAGCGAAGAAATACAGTGAATAGAACTGGAGGTGAGGTGGATCGGTTGTCTTTTTAATTTTTGCATACCAGCCACAGCCACAGACAGAGGC